CAGTAGATAGTCGTATGTCATAGTTGCACATCCTTCTAGTTGCTGTATGTGGGACGCGGCCTCAGCATGGCCGGAGAAGCGGTGCGTCGGTGCGCGCCCAGGATCCGAACCCGGGCTGCCAGTAGCGGAGCTCGAGCACTTAACCGCTAAGCCACGGGGCCGGCCCAAGAATTAAGTATTTTAAATAAAACGAAACACAGTCTATTCTATTTTTATGCTAAGAATGAATACATAACTAAATAGAAATATAAAGTTAACTGGTTTTTATTATTTTTGTTTCCAATTTTAGGATTGAATTCTAATCAAATTTTTTCTTTCCTATTAATTATGACATTTTGATCCCTCCCTATCTTAAATAGATCTACTTTCCAGTTCCAAGCGTGTCAGGGAGCCAAGGTCCTCTTGTGCCTGTGGGGTCTTCCTGGTTGTTGTTTTCAGGGTCGTTTTGTGTGGCTTTCCATGAGCTGTGCAGGAGGATCAGGTGATCTGAGCAGCAACAAGAGACATGTGAGGCAAGGCAGGTTCTGCAGACCCCGTCTGGTTCTCAATTTTCATCTGACACCAACCAGCTATTCTGTTCATCAGGAAGGGTTAATGGGGGCTATCCATGCTTCCAAACCACCTGCTTCTGGGGCGGGGACTTGCTTCTTTTGGTTCCAGGCTGTGTCTGGTGACAGGTGGGTCTGGGTCCTCACAGAGAGTCTGTGCTCACAACCTCCCTGCATCCTACTCCCCCAAGGACAGCTCCACCCGAGACCCGGGGCCTGGCCATTCATCTTTGCAGATTGTCTCCACTGCTTCGTGGATTTGTGCAAATGCAGGGGCTCCTAAGAGAGGACCCCACTTTATACCCAAGTCAACTGTGCATGGGTTGCTTCCTGAGAGCAGGTTTTGGTTAGAAAGGCAGATAAAGAAAGCTCCTGAGATTGGAGGAGGGCTGTACCCACAAAGGAAAACAAGACAAAACCAACAGGCGTGTCAGCACTGAAGACGAACGTTGAGCCGGAAGCAAGGGCCAGCCTGCCTCTGATTTCCAGCATGGCTCACATAAAAATTTGTTTCTCTTTCTTATTTTCATTTCTTTGATGTTCTTTCGTTTTCCCAACATAGACTGCTCATATCTGATTTAGCTTTTATTTATATGGTCCCTCATTTCTTTCTCTTTCCTCATACCTTCCTTTCTCCATCTTAATTTTATTTTAATTTCTCCTTTGTTTCCTTTATGCTTTTATTTCTTATTTTCTCCACTTCTTATGAATTTCCTCCCTTTCTTTCTTTCTTCCCCGTTCTGGTGCTGGCTTATTCCTTAGAGATGAAACGTCCCTCGTGTGCTTGTTCTGTGGGTAGAGTGTTAGCTCTGCTGAATAGTTGTATGGTTACAGCTCAAAAAACTGGAAGGCTGTGGTTTTCTCTTTCCAACAACGTTTTGACACATGGAACCACTTGCTGAAGAAAAGAAGCTGTTTTCGGTGGAGATGAAACTATTATAGACATAGTATTCTAGTTTAATATAGCTGGCAAATCTTACTGTAGTTTAGACTTAATTTCTCTCTCTTTTTGAAGGCTGGTTTCTCTCCTCTCCTGTCTTCTCTTCTCTACTCTTTTTTTAATTGGAAGTCTGGAAAGTGGCTCCCGGGCCAGCCCTGAGCAAATCTGTTACACAGATAAAGGCTGTGACAGATGCTCTTTCGCTTCTGTGCCTTTCTTGGCTAGTGTCCCTGTGCTCTGTGACACCATTACTGCCCTTTTCTACTTAAATGGTAGGTCAGAATTCCTTGTCAGCAGCAGTAAAGCTATTGGGTTAAAAAGGTGTTGAGAACTACTAAATAGATGGACATTACAACACTGGGCTATGGTAATTTTGAGAAACAATTCCTGAAGTTTATTTTCTAGATCAGGTTCTTAAACTGTTTGGTCTCGGATCCCTTCATACGCTTTTTAAAAAATATTTTATTGTGCTAATAACATTTAACAAACATGATAGCTAAACAATAGATTTTTAAGTATACAAACAGTATTTTTATCTATAGGCACTGTATTCTACAGCAGATCTCTAGAACTTATTCATCTTGCATAACTGAACATTTACACTCATTGATTAGCAACCCCCATTTCTCCCTTCCCCCAGACCCTAGTAACCACCATTCTATTCTTTGCTTCTATGAATTTGACTATTTTAGATGCCTCATATAAGTGGAATCATGCAGTATTTGTCCTTCTGTGACTGGCTCATTTCACTTAGCATGATGTCCTCCAGGTACATCCATGTTGTCTCATATTGCAGGATTCCCTTATTTTTTAAGGCTGAATAATATCCCATTGTATGTATATACCACATATTCTTTATCCATTCATGTCAGTGGGTGTTTAGGTTGCTTCCATGTCTTGGCTATTGTGAATAGTGCTGCAGTGAACATAGGACTGCTAATAACTCTTTGAGATCTTGATTGCAGTTGTTTTGGATGAATACCTGGAAGTGGGATTACTGGATCATATGGTAGTTCTATTTTTAATTTTTTGAAGAACCTCCATACTGTTTTCCATAGAGGCTGCACCATTTTACATTCCTGCCAACAGTATATAAGTGTTCTGATTTCTCCACATCCTCACCAACAATTGTCTTTTTTTTTTTTTTGATAATAGTCATCCTAACAGGTGTAAGGTGATATCTCATTGTGGTTTTGATTTGCATTTCTCTAATGATTAGTGACATTGAACATCTTTGCACATATCTTTTGGCCATTTGTATGTCTTATTTAGAGAAATGTCTATTCAAGTCTTTAGCCCATTTTTTAAATTGGGTAATTAGGTTTTTTTACTATTGAGTTTTAGGAATTTCTTATATATTTTGGAAATTGACCCTTATCAGATATATGGTTTGCAAATATTTTCTCCCATTCCATTGATTGCCTTTTCTCTATGTTGATTGTTTCCTTTGTTGTGCAGAAGCCTTTTAGTTTGATGTACTCCCACTTGTCTAGAATTTGTTGCTTGTGCTTTTGGTGTCATATCCAAGAGGTCATTGCCAAGGCCAATGTCATGAAACTTTCCCATATGTTTTCTTTTAGGAGTTTACAGTTTCGGGTCTTATGTTTAAGTCTTTAATCTATTTTGAGTTGATTTTTGTGTAAGATGTAAGATAAGGGTCCAATTTCAATCTTTTGCAATGTGGGTATCCAGCTTTCCCAACAGCATTTGTTGAAAAGACTGCCCTTTCCCCATTGTGTGTTCTTGGCATCCTTGTCAAAGATCAGTTGGCCATATATGCAGGGATTTATTTCTGGGCTTTCTGTTCTCTTCCGTTGGTCAGTATTTCTGTCTTTATACTAGTCCCATGCTATTTTAATTACTGTAGCATTGTAGTATAGTTTCAAATCAGGAAATGTGATGCCTCTATCTCTGTTCTTAATTTTAAGATTATTTTGGCTCTTTGTGGTCTTTTATGATTCCATATGAATTTTAGAATTGTTTTTTCCCTTTATTCTCTTAAAAATTATTGAGGACTCCAAAGAGTTTTTGTTTATGGGGTTATAACTATCAATATTTACTGTATTAGAAATTAACATTGAGCAAAATTTAAAAGACCAGAATTTATAAGCACATATCCCATTAGTCATCAGAGCCTCTGAAACTATCTATTATATATTGTAGGATAAGAGTGAAATTCTAAAAATATATATATTCATATAGAATAAGAGTTAGAAAGGTAAATTACATCTTAACATGACTATCAAAATAGGTTTGATCTTTCAGATCTCAGAGAGGGATACAGGAACCCCCTGGGATCCTCAGCCCTCACTGTAAGAACTGATTTAAATATCTGGTGATTATTTACTGAGTGCCCTGTACTGGATATTTCAGTGATGGTGATAGGGGAGTGGGAAAATATTAGCGGATTTTCCTAGTACCCAGAAATTCATATCACATGTGTGTCCCTACTCTATCTATGCATAAGGCAACTTGTATATTTGAAAAATAAGTTTATGTATGTAATCAATGAAAATGATTTGGTATCTCTTTTATGACCGTTAAAATCTTAGTTGGTATGATTATAATCTGGATATTTGCTACTCAAGTCAGTGTGTGAGTCACCAGCCCAGCATCACTGCAGAACAGTCTTGTGAAATTCAGCCTCTTGATATGATCACTACCAAGAAAAGCACCAGGGGTTTCAATTATGTTTCTTGTTATCTGGTTAACCAAGTAAAACTTAAGAGAACATGTCTGAACAATCATATCCTCTTTCTTATTTATGTACCTGCCTCTTTCAAAGCCTTTTTGTCATAAAAATGTGGTATAAAGGTATTGTTTATAATCAATGAAACTATGTTAAATAACATTACCAATCATTTTGATAGAACTTTCTGGGTAGCTTCCATCTTTGCATCCAAAAATTTGAGGACCTAAGTGTAATCATTTGCTCCTTCTTTTCAGATAGTTTTGAGACAGCTGTGCCATCAAATAGTCGCATAGTCTCAGAACCTGGAAAAAATATCACACTCACCTGTCAGCTTCAGATGAAGTGGCCATTACAACAAGTTATGTGGGAAAAGATCCAGCCCCATCAGATCGACCTCTTAACTAGCTGCAACTTGTCACAAGGGAGAAGTTACACTTCAAAGTACCGAAGACGGATCCTGAGCAACTGTAGCCAGGGAATGAGACGGGCCTCCATCGTCATGCCCTATGTCACGGCCTCTGACTCGGGACTTTACCGATGTCGCTTCAAGGCCAGCACAGGAGAAAATGAAACCTTCGTGATGAGATTGACCATAACCGATGGTGAGTAGGTGACAGATGTCTTCAAGTGCCAAAAATGGAAAAAGCCAACCACTGTGGATTGGTTTCTGTTGTCTTTTTCATGAATCTATTGTTCAAAATATTTTTTAAGGAATGAATTTAGATAAGTTGTCAGTTATTGAATGTTAGTATTTAGTATTTCTTTATCTTGCTAATCCATCCATCACAGATATAGCAATAATAGATCTTTTCCATTTTCTTGATCTGCCACATTCCTGAAATTAAAAAAAAAAATTCAGTGTGTCTGAAAAATACTTGGTATCAACAGCTTATAAGTTTCAGCTGTGTAACTCCTATTTTTTCAATTACATTAAAACTTTTTGATGGTGGTGACTAGGTTTTCTAATCCCATGTATCCTCAGCAATAAAAAGATGGCGCTAGATTGGTATTTGCTGAACCAGTGTTGAGTTGAGTAGAATTTAATAAATGTTTGATGACGTGGTTGTTACTTTGCCCGATCGGAGCTTTGATTCCGTCTTTTGTTTTCAGACCTGGGAGCAAAACCAGACTGGCCTTGAAGCTACTGAATCTCTTACCTGAGCAGGCTTCTTCCAAGGTCCAGTACTAATTTTGTATTAGTAATTTGTGTCCCGTTTCATAATGAAGCCCTAATCCATGTAAGCTTCAGGCCCCACAAAACCTGTGTGAGAGTAAGAAAAAGCAATTTTTCACTTAATCAAAGTGCAAATACAGAGAGGCCTGTCTGGAAGTCTGTATAGAGGCCTACATTACAATTGAGTGGCAGGAAGGTGATCTCAGGCTCTCCTGGTTCTGCCTCTGGGCAAGTTTTCTCACTGCGGAGGGACATGTCAGAGAAAATAATTTATTTTTACTGGTGACAGAAATTTTATTTCACTTTATTCTCACTCTCTTCTTTCCTTCCTTCCTCTCTCCCTCCCTCCTTTCCTCCCTCCCTTTCTTCTTTCCTTCTTTCCTTCCATTTTTCTTTCTCTCTTTCTTTCATGTGCTTCCAGCCAGCTCATGTGCCTTGGCTTGTGTGTAGACTTTTAGAGCCAAGGTTTCCTAGGATTTGGCTGTCCCTTCATAGACTGCAAACCAATGTTTCTTCCTGCACTGGAAAGGAAGAAGAAAAGGTTTTGCATCTACAGCAGCCTCCACCACTGTAGCCGCAGCAGCTGTGTGTGCTAAGAAGGACATTTGCCAGAGGATTGCAGTTTTTCATACATAATCACCTTGGGTCACATCAAGCCTTCTTTATTCCTCTTAATGACAGTGGGAGCTGAGGGTGAGAACTTGATGCAGAAGAAGATTGATGGAATATTTGGGGGAGAAAAATTAACAGAGATTCTTCATTTTAAGTGTTGATTCTGTTCCTTCAGACATATGTAGAAAATATTTCTCACCTTAAAAAACCTTGCGTTATAAAAGTGTTTTTGAAACCTGGACAGGAAAGAGAAAGAATAAAAATAGTCACTAATATTCCCTCAGAGACCAAGGCAAGAAGAAGTTCTATTCAGAATAATGTCATAAAGAATCATTTTCAAACACATGTGAAATAAGATCTGTCCATTATATGTTGAAAAAGTAATTATAAACATCTTAAATCATAGAGAAAATGGAGGTAATAGAATTTTAGGAGGTATAGTTGTTTAACTCTTACTAATTAGTAAAAATGTCTCTCATTTGTCCAAACATGACTAAGTTTCTTGCACAAAACTATTTCTTTTCTTTGTACATAAGCTATAAATGACATCAAAAATGGTGACCGAATGTAATGGTCAGTATTGTTAATGTCCATGTGTTTTGAACACTTTCAGAATGGCTTTTTGACATTCAATTGACGTGTTGAAAGACTATCAAGTGGACCCATTAGTAAAAAGTTATAATTGATGGAAGATGACAGCTGTTGATTGTGTGTTGTGATTTAATTCCTTTTAAAAATAATTATAATTAAAGACTGAATATAAAAAAATCAGATGGAAAGCAAAAATAGATCATTTGTGTTTTCTCTGCTGAAATTCGATTATCTCAAGTCTTGAGGCTGTTTGGTCAGAAATCAATGTAGGGATTAAAGCAGAGAGACAGGTATAAGATGTGGAGCAGATTTAATTTATTTCAACTGTCAAGAGAAAGGTGATTGTGACACAAATTTTATAAACTGCTATGCATCCTTTTATTAGCTCCTGTCAACTTATTTTATAGGATCCAAAAGAGAGGTTTTCAGGACTCATATTCCACATACACAAGCAGAGGCTCTTCTCCTGACTTTTGCCAGCTTGCATTCATCCTCAGACAAGTACCAGATACTCAGAGGTCACCCAACAGATGACACAATGTCACCCAATGCGTCATGTATCCAGGCCTTGATGTATTTTGAGCAGAGGGAGAAACTGGCAGAATATGAGTTGAACCCAAAATTACTATTGACTTTCTTTGCTGAATGGAAAGAAATACTTATCTCCTGTTCTTTGCACTCAGGACCCAGGAAGTAGTTTGAAATAGTTCCAGACTGACTTTTATGAATTTGAAACTTGTCTAGACCACAGGGACAAGGAACAGGGGAAAATGTGTGTATACTGACAGTAAAAAAAATTCTTTTTATCCCTCAATATCCTCTAGTTTTTCATTAGCCATGAGAAAAGTATTTTAGTTTCCAACAAAAGAATTTGTGAAGTCTTTTAATATTAACTAAATGATGTTCACTCTACTATTGTTTCAACTGAGCTTATTGATTATAAAAAGAATGAGGATCAAAGAAATGAAATCAGCTTTCTCAGGAAGTTTCTAGAGGACACTAGTTTTGAGCAAACTTCTCTTTGCTACTGCTGATAAGTAGGGTTACTCACGTCCTTCTCCAATTTTCTTCCACCAATGAGGCCACTCAGCTGAACCATCAAGTTTCTAATGAGGTGTTGATAATCAGAGCAGAGGAAAGACTACGGGGAGTAACACAAAATATGCACGGAGGGATAAGGAATTTGTGTGTGGGTGATTGCAATCAAATGATTAGGTTGGTATAGATATTCTGAGTCATGGGTTAATACAGAAGGAGCTAGGTTCAATTGAGTGATACCTTGGTGAAACTCTGGATCTCCTTGAGAGCCATTATCAATTCTTGACCAAAGATGGTAAAAAAGTATTCAAGGAAGTATAGGTCAAATAGTTGAGTATAGAATAAAAAGAGAAATTTGAGGCAGAGGAAATTAGCTCAGTCAGTTGTGATGGTCACTGCATGAATGATTGAGCTCTCAAACTAAGCTACCACTGTCACATACTGGGGTCTTTGGGGCCTACTCCAGAGGGACAAATTTCAAATGGTGCCTCCTCCAGGAAGACAAATTAGAAAAAGGTGCCCCTTCCTCTAGACTGATGCAGATCCAAGCTGGTGTACAGGCTTAGTAATGAGCCACAGGCCCCCTACCCACCTTGGTTGGGCACAGAGGTAGCCTGGACAAGGGGAGAGAGATGTTAGTCTAATTGGAGTGCCCCCTTGACAGTCACTCACACTTTCCTATTCTTTCCCTTTCCTAACCAACCTACTAGTTTTTACCACATTTACCTTCCTTCCTTTAGAGTTTCAATCAGATCTCACTATCTTCATGATTTTTCCACGTTAGCCCAAACTGCTTCCCTGATGTCAAACCATTAAGCATCTTGAATTTCTCAAACTTTTATAACTTGGAAATTTATACCCTTGAGTCACTTAATAACTGCATCTATTTGCAATGGTGCAGACTCTTCTATCAGAAATTACTTGAGATCAGGGATTATGGCATCTCTGCTTAGAGTTGTCAAAGTATCTTTCCAGAATATGCTCAGTAAGTGTTCTTGACTGATTCTTTGTATGTTAATATTTCCATCTACTCTGGTAGGGACTGTGTCCATTTTAGTTTCAAGTTTTCTAGCTAGATGATTTCTAGATTTTCTTCACCAACGCTTAACATTTGAAGTTTAGTGATTGCTGATCAAAGAAACCTGAACTCTCAGAAGATCAATTGCAATGTTTGGGGAGAAAATTTTCATGAACATCTCTTCACATATATAACTTTCAAAAAAGTCTATTTCCTTTTTTAACTTTAGTTTTCTTGTTTTGTATATTTCATATGAATAATGCATAAATGCTAGTCACTGGACGTGGAGGATGGGGTTTGTAAATGAGGATTACAGAAGTATTCACTAGGAAATCATGGGGCCACAGCCAAGAGAATCTTCCCACATATTTCTTCTGTGAGGTATAGGGTTGACAAAGAGGTAATGACTGCTGTAGGTTATAAATCTTGCCTATAGATGGTGGAAGATTACTGACTTTGGGACTATGTGCTCCTGAGTTGGACTTTGAGAATATTGAGGAAGAGAAATAAACCTCATTTATTTCTTTGGCCTTTGGTTTCTGCTAAAAATCAACCAGTTTGCTCCCAGGTGATTTGGATTCCTGAACAGTTTCAGGTTGTAGGTAAGAGAAGTTTTTTTTAGGGATTCATTAATCCAGAACCTTCTATCCCACTCCTATGAATTTATAATAGATACGACTATGGTAGGCATGGGGGTTGTCTGAGCTGGTATCCACTGGGATGCCTGATATGTCCATTTCCATGACAGTGTGATGAATCTCAGCCTTTTCTTATCTGTACCTACATAGAAAATAATGTCCAGGACAGTTAATTTATGTGGTAGGACCACAGGACCAGAGTCCCAGAGCACTGGTGTCACTGCTGGCAAGTTAAAATAGCCTCTACTGAAACAGATCAACTAGAATTTTCAGCCCAATTTAGTTAGTTAAAATTCTGGATGATAACTGGATATCCAGATGAAACAGTGTTTCCAGCATCACAAGTGAGTTGATTACTCAATCATGGCCTATTATGTCGTTGTATCTTTACTTTACAGTTGCCTCTGCCTAAATCAGTTCTTGTGTACGAGACATTGCATTAAAAAAAAAAATGCAACCGGTCAGTTAGTTTGTTTTGTAAGCCACACATATTGATTTATCCGTCTTTCCTAATGCACAAAATCCCGGAAT